GAATTTGTAGGTGTGTTTTTGTAATTTAAAAAACTTGGAGAATATTTTTTTACAAAGTCCAAAAACTTTTAGATGTTAGCTAGCATTATTTTTTAGATTTCTCTACAAATTGAAATAAGTAAAAGATTTGAATTATATGAAACATATATATTTTATCCAATAACATGTTAAGTCTCATTATGATAAGAATAAATCATTTTGTTACCAATTCAAAGAAGATAAGATAATTAGAATAGGTCTCATTATGATAAGAATAAATCATTTTGTTACCAATTCAAAGAAGATAAGATAATTAGAATAGATTAGGATAACAATGTAATAAATCATTTTGTTACCAATTCAAAGAAGATAAGATAATTAGAATAGATTAGGATAACAATGTAATATTAAAAATACCTAAGGGTAATATTGGTCATAGAAAGATTTTTCCGAACTCGTACTTTTAAAAGGAGTATGATTATCTGGCAATAGTTAAGTGCTTTGAACGGAATAGTTAATAGGGGGACTAATTTCACCACACTAATGGTATTTGACGGACTAATATCATATGAAGATTTAAGGGACGAATATCAAAACACCTATGATTTAAGGGACTAATATCTAAAAACCCTAAAATATATTAAATTTTTGCATGCAGATGACTAGAATTCAATTTTCGTAAAAAGTTAAAATTATGAAACTTTACACATGTATCTATGATAATTTATTTAACTGGAAGCATTTAATACTTCTTAACATATGCCTTAAAGACACATACTAGAAAAACACTTGAAAGTAAAAATAGTTCCTTTATAATTTGCTGAATTGTGCCAAACAAAATGGACCAAAGTCTTCATATATCATTTCTTTCATTTGTAATTGAAAAGTTTTTCATACATTCTAATATACACATAGTTTCTTTAAGATTTTATGAATTTTATATAATTTGGATGTGAAGTTCTATTACATAATTTAAAACTTTTTATTTTTTTATACTCTTAGAATTTTTTTATACTTACATATTATATTCTTGGATCTTTTCCCATTATATATTGCATATACTGAACACGTAATGATATTTGAATTACTAAATGCAAAATGTTACTTACCATTGTTAAAAACAAGTTAAGTTAGTACTTTAGTGGAGATTATCAACCAAGCGAAAAGTCTTTCGCAATCAATCGCGAATAATATTGTTTAGTAAATCATTATATAATATTGTGTATATAGTACACTTTTCTTATGAACATGAGCACACAAATGGCTTATAATAACGTCAAACATGAGAGGACAATTTAGATTCCCTACATTGTCTTGGCTGTGAGATGAAACTATTTAAAAAGTCAGTTATGTGTTCATGTTAAAGAAATATTTGGTGTGCATTAGTCACAACATCAGTTTGTGGATTTCCTATTCTTCTTATGATGCGATTTACTATAGATAAAATTATAAATCACAATATATTTGATTAGTCTATTTTTAGCCTTCAAATTATGTTTTTAAACCCTATGATTCATGAGAAACAATAATGGTTTAGTTGAATTGAAACATGATAATATGTTTTTATTTTCATTCTCTAATATATACACTATATACCATAAACTGCATTTTATTTTTGCTAAACCTACTTATTGTAATATTTGTTGGTTATGTGGAAAAGTTAGTTTATGATAACCATAAAATTTTTCGCAACCCAGTTATATTAAAGAAATAAATTCAAAGAAACAATCAAGATATCTGACTACATACAGTAATCCTACCTAGTATACACACACTAGTTAAGGAAATTTGCAAGGCTTCCCACCTCTTTGCCCTGTCAAGAGCTTAATTGCCTAGCTAGAAATAAATCCAAAGAAACAATCAATATATTTGATCATGTGCAGTGATCCCACCTAGTATATACACGCACACTCTCTAGTTTAAGAAATTTACAAGGCTCCTCACCTCTTTGCTGTGTCAAGAGCTTAACTGCCTGGCTAATAGGGTAAGTCTTCATTCTTAGCAGCCTTCTATGTTTCATGGGAAATCCATCTTTTGCCTTAATTGCTGGCTCAGAATTCAACATAAACTTAATTTAGTGAATGTAAGGTTCACCACACTTTAAAATTTTGATTACTTATTTGATGGAACTTCTTGTCTCTTAGTTGTCTTTCAATACCGATGCAATTCCTAAAAAAATGTTAGCTTGATAAATGATAAGTGTATATACAATCGATTAGGTTAAAAAGTCATAATGTGCTCAAAATTGATTTCTACAACACTCAAGGTTTTAAATGTTGGATGTCGGACGACGAAAATTCATGTCGGATAGAGGAAATCAGGGATATGTCGGGGGATATATTCTAAATATGGGTTGCTATATCAAATGATGAACATATATATATATATATATATATATATATAATATATATAATATATATATATATATTATATAATATATTATATATATATATATATAATATATATATAATATATATATATTATATAATATATATATATATATAATATATATATATATATATATATATATTATATATAGTATATAATATATATATATATATATATATATATAATATATATAAATCTAATGAATGCAATGTAAGCATACTTAATGAATTCTATATTCTAACCTAAATATCTAATGTAAAGAAAACAATATCGTAACCAACAATATCTCGACTTAAATGAAATCATATCTTTTTATGATTTCATTAGATAGTAGCATCATACATCCGCAAGCCAATTGCTCTCAATGAAATGAAATAAAATGAAAGGGACATACAAATTTAAACTTTAAAGTAGCGCAGAAGCTAGATTATGAAAAGAAATACATCTCAATTAACAACCCTTTTAAATACACTAGACGTTGCATAAAATATGCTATTAATCCCCAAATTCAAGAAGACAACTTAAATTAAAACCTAAGTTTAAGTAGAGAGCCTCGAAGAGAGTCGTCGAAGCCTTGGAACCCTAGTTTCTATCAAACCTCCAATTGTGCTTGAAAAAGAGGGAGGGAGGGAGAGAGAAACAATTGATGGCTTTGATGTCGAAATCGAAGCTGGGAGATAGCGGAATTCTGAGTTTGGATCACAATGGATTTGGGGCAAAACTTTGCCCTGAATGAGAGATATTAGGAATAGGGTCATATAAGTCAGGTCGGGTCAGGTTTTCAAAGTAATACTCGAAGCCAATAAGACTGTTTTAAACAGCTCAAATCAGGTGCTATTTTAAGCCAGATATAGCGCTCGGCGCTCGCTTTTTTCGATATGCCTTATATGTCACTTATATATGTCACTTATATGAATCCATAATTGATTTTCGCCTTAAGCAACACTATATCGTGGTTGTTTAGTGTCAAAGCCGCAATGTCGGCCACTATGTCCAACATTTAAAACCATGACATCACTAGCCATTATATATAAGTGATAAGTGTTCTTGTTCCATGTTGTAAATGTTAGATTTTTAGTGTTATCAGGGACGAGTTTAGAAGTGGGTCAGCGGGCGTAGTGGCCTACTCTATTTTCAACACTTTAATGGGCAGAGGTGTTTGTGCTTTAGGATTTCGGTGGATGGAGAAAATCCCTCACTGATAAAACAGAGCCCAAAACCCTTCACCTATAGTGTTGAAATTGGATAGTCAATGGGCCTTTTAAACTTGGAGTGAATGCGGTTTCACTAGGCATCAGTCTTATAAAATTGAAAGAGATTCCTTTGTGAGGTGTAGCAGCGGAGCCAAACAAATAGCCAACTAAACTTACAGAATGCCTAATTGGAAAGTATGCTCATGACTATGTTTCCATGGAGAACATGGAGAAATCAAATGAGAAAATTTATTAGGATTTTCTTTTCCGTCTTCTTTTTCTTTTTGTCTCTCTTTTCATTTAATAATTTTGCTTTCTGACTGAGCACTTCCATTTCAACTCAGTAAATGATAGTTATTAACAAGAATGGAGAAAAATGGTTTTATGAGATCAAAGGGTTTTGTTTTTTGCTCTTGTGTATTTCAAGATCTCCTTGTCATGACACATTAAGTTTCTTATACCTAAATGGATAGTAGATAAACCAAGCACTTTAGGCAATTTTTTCTCCTTCGAATCCCGTCACTATCTTTGTTTTTTGAAACAATGGTTGAGGTTATATCAAACTTTTGAACCAAATTGAATCAGAGATTAAAGCAGGCAGAAAATTGAAAAGCTAGAGGTCCTAAATTAGGACTTTTGGCTGAGATATTCCCCTCTTATTACAACGGCCATTGAGAATCTCCTTATAATGGGGCAAGGTTGTGTTGGGACCGATTGTGAGTGGATATCATGTACTTCTATAACGAACATTGTAGCTTAGTAGCATATTTGCCAGATATGAAACCATAAGCAGCCCAAGCTACGACAGATATGAAACCATAAGCAACCCAAGCTGCGGCAGATATAAAACCATAAGCAGCCCAAACTACAGGCGAATACTTGTTAGATACTAACGAATATGACGAAGGTCTGGAGCTATACCTATAATTTTTTATTTTTATTCTTATGTAATATCAAAATTGTATAAATTGGTTAAAACTTTAAAAATTTAAAATTAGCTATTGCATTATACTGAAGTTGATGTTCTTGAAATATATGTATGCAATTTGCCATATTCAGCATATTGTGATATGTGTTTCAATAGCTCATTGTTCTAGCACTACGATATCCGTATTCATATGTTAAATGGATGATGAAGCTGTCTACAAGAGAAAAGGGAAAAAAAAGTTAGATACAAAATTGGACAATGTAGAAGAGTAATATGTCCATTTGTATCCTCTGTCTGGGAGGCATGATAGAGCACCTTTGAATTTTAAATTCCATTTTGTATTCTTCTCTTATAGTTTCATTACTTTGTAAACATATGAAATTGACGTGAGTTTCAATAGTAACTGCTGTATGACTTGGATACAGCTAGGTTAGACCTTATTTTGGGAACCTCTTCTACATACTTCAAGAAATCTTCCCCAAGCTTGACATAAAATGGGTTTTTAAATGCAGATAGTGCTCGATCAGCCTTTGCATGTTGAAGTTCATGTCGCATGGGAATCCCAACTTGAATATCATATGTGTCGCAGTAATTGGGAACAGGTCTGCAAACTCTTGGATGCGATTCCGACATCTCTGTTATCAGAGGGCAGTCTTGAAATTAATCTGAACAGTTCACAAATTTCGACAAATACAGAAACTTGTTCCAAGTTTCCTGATCATGCAATGTATATTTGCGCTGCTGAAGAGCTAGAGCCTGTGTGCATGGATATCCCTGATGTTAAGATTTTCACATCTCCAGTGGTAAATACATGTTCATCATGGTTGAAAATGCTCGTAGAGCTGGAACTGGCCAGGAAATTTATCTTTCTAAAAGACTATTGGGAGAATACTACAGATATCATACCTCTCCTTGCTCGTGCAGGCTTGACCATTGATAAGTGTAGAATTGTTAACGAACCAACTATGAGCTCTCTTGATCTAGCTGTTTTGGACACTGGTAGGAGACCTCACAAAGATGCAGGAAAAGCATTGCATAAGCTTGTTGTAAGTCATTGTACACAATATAACTTGCCAAATCTGCTGGACCTTTATCTTGATCATTGCAATTTGGACCTGGACGATGATTTGCTTTCTCCTCTCCTGGATGCTGCTGTAAGTTTTTGGTAATATCAGCCAAAATTTTCCACCAAAACGTTACCGTTGTAGTCAGGCTTTATTGTTTCATATAGTTTACAATTTATGAATAATTTCCGTTGCATTCTTTTTGTACTGCAGGTTATTTTTCAATAATTATTTTGTTTATATCCTGTAAAGCAACTCAGTTTATAAAATGGAGGGACATGATGCTTTAAAACTAAGAGGCAGTTAAAGCTTTTGCTTTTGGGCCTCGATTAACCACTATAAACTAATTACTAGCATTAGAGGTGCTTGGTTTGAATAACAAGCAAATCGATTGTCCTCTCTAAAATAATTTAAAAATGATAAGGTGTTATGCTTTGGCTGTGGAAATTTATTAGTAATTGTAGTTCTATTTGTTTCCCATCGAGACCAACTTTCTGCAATTAGTATGTAGACTTAGCCTTCAACCGTTTCCTTTTCATCAATGAAATATTTATAAACACATGGTTTTGATGAAAGAGAGAGCCACTCTGTAAAAAGTGATATCTTGAACATCTAGAAAACCTGCTTTCTGTAAATAGTATGTAGAATTAGCCTTCATCCGTTTCCTTTCCATCAATGAAATTTTTATAAACACATGGTTTTGATGTAAGAGAAAACCATTCTGTAAAAACTGATATTCAGAAAACTCTTTTTCTTACAACTGAAAGAACGGATGTGTTCTGAAAGAGAGAGAATTGCATCTGACACCCTGCTTCTTTTACCTTGTAAATTTGTTTATATAACATAATTAATTAACAAAAACCACACTTCAGCCATAATTCTAACGTGGGTGTCTTACATGAACTTTTGATATTTCTAGAGCAAAGATAGCCTCATAACTGACATGAAGTTTATCACTACTACTGAAGTTGTGATTGGATCATTTACTACTTTTTCGGTTTAGTTACTTGAATAATCTAAAGATACTAGACAACCATGAACGAGAGATGGTAGTGGAATGAGGAAGTCTAGATGTAATCAAAACAGACAAAGTCATCTATATTAAATGGGTAATGTATGGAAATGACAGAATGGAAACTACAAGTTTATTGTAAAACAAGCCAAAAATATAAATCTTATGATTATTATTACAGTAAGGTAGGGAGGAACAGACAGTGTATTTAATTTTAAGTTTGTTTAATTTTATAGATCTAAGTAAATCATTTGCAGTAAGATTGAAGACCGAAACACACTAGTGAAGGAGGAAGAAGCCGAAAAAGGATATGCTGCTGTTGGATCTGATTATTATCTTATTGAAGTTTGTAATTGTTAAGAAGATGAGGGAGGGGTTAGAATGCTAAAGTGTATAACAGTTTAAGAAATCAGAGCATGCCAATCAGATGGAGGAGAGGCACATTGTATCTATATATGAGAACAGATGTATAAAGTTTCTGCAAGCAATCATGGAAACACGTTTTAAGTCGTATAATAAAACACTTTCTGGAGGGAGCAGTCGACCAAATTCTATGAAAATAGATGATTGTCTCAGAAAATCAATTGGGCCAAGAGAGGCAATAGTGGAATGTATTTATTTCAAATATTTACATATGGTTCACATTGACTGGGAAAATAGTGAATGAGAGGGTCTTTATAGGGAGATATTGTAATGACTAATGACTTTTAGGAAAAATGTTTCTATTAGTAATATGAATGTAGTTAAGGATATATATGGTTTGTGTTTTACCAGATCGCCATGAATCCCCCTTCCGCACCCCCCCCCCCCTCTTTTTTTTTTTTTTAACATTCAGTATCAGTTCAGGGGTATGCCTTCAGTCAAGAAACCAACTATGCTTACCCGCAACAGGATGGCATTGATGCAGCAAGTTGCAGTGGGATCATCCCCACAAATGCTCTTTAAGATTCATCACATATGGTTTCAAACGGATTGTCAACTAACTAATGCAGCCCTCTTTTATAATGGCTTGGAGCATGTCTAAACCAAAATGTGCAGTGCAAGCTTAGCAAAACCATGAGAAGAATGAGGGTGTCATACACTATGATGACTAAGGAACACCTAGGATTTATCACTTCCACTACTTACAACTGCAAGAGATATCGTAATAAAATTTAGCAGACCTGTTAGGAAAAATGAGGTTGTAGTGACATTAAATTCCGGTGAACGGTCATTTTCACTACTTAGGGCCAGGATCAATCAATTATCTGATTGAAAGCTTGTCTTCCATATAAGCAAAGTAGGATTATTGTAAAATAGAAATGTTAGTGGAGTATGATGCGATTTTAGGATTTTAATTCTATTGACGACTCATTTCTAATAAGATGTCTATATGACCCCATGATTTATGTATCATCCTTTTGGGTAATCAAGGAAAATGTATCCTAAAAATGTTATAGCTTGAAGCGAAAATAATGAGGTGGATGTATGACTGACATTAGGCTAAAAGGTTTAAGCGAGGCATGAGTTCATCCGTAGCAAGTTTGATGGCTTCAGTTGAGCACAGGTGAAGGTGTTTTTTTTTTCTCTCCAATTTATCATAAGAATTGAAAAACTTTAGCTTGCATCTTTTTGATCTATAGTCTTACATATTTGTCAAAAATTGCATATACTTGTTCCATATTTTTTGTATTCTGAATAATTGGTGCTAAATTGAAGCTGGATAGCTTTTTTACAGTATTTGTTTCATACAATAAGCTGAAATGCCTAAGATCATTCAAATATGTCGATGCCTTTCAGGGAGATTGCCAATGGGCAAAATGGTTACTTTTTTCAAGGAACAAGAGGCATGTGTATGAGGCTTCATTGTCTAATGCTCGTTCAAATTTGTCTCGTCGAATGATCCATGGTAGCAATCTTAGTGTCTTGGAATTTGATGAAATAATACATACGGTTGATGATATGGCTGAAGGGGGAGGAGAAATGGCTGCTTTGGCTACCTTGATGTATGCCGCTTCCCCAATGCAGAAGTGTCTTTGTGCCGGAAGTGTAAACAGGCAATGTAGTTTTACTCCTCAGTGCACTTTGGAAAATCTTCGACCTGGTCTCCAGCACTTTCCTACACTCTGGAGGACACTTGTCAATGCTTGTTTTGGGCAAGATGATAATGCTTGTAGTTTGAATTCTGACGCTGTTAATGGTAATTTTCCATGCTAGTTACATGTTTCTTCAGTTCTTTTACTTTTTTCATTATCACGTGTTTTCTTCAATTTTTAGTTATTGGATGTCAGTTGAATGGCTTTCTCGGTTTGCATATCTGAATGTGACCCTTTCTCAACAGTATTTGGGAAGTCATTGCTCTCTGACTATTTGGGTTGGCGCGATACCATATTTTGCTCTACTGGAGGTGACACTTCTTTAATCCAAATGCTTCCATGCTGGTTTTCGAAGTCTGTTAGAAGATTGGTTACCCTCTTTGTCCAGGTTTCATCACATCTTTCCACCCAATGTTTGATTTGATTGCACACATGAATTATACTGTATATTATTCATGTTATACAAATTTGCATTATGGAAAGACGAATTTTGAATAATTTGTTTGCTAAAGAATTCTTCATACATGATAGGAGTTCATGCATGATCCTTGAGATTTGGGATAAATTGCTCACAGATGTTGCTTTCCTGTGATGCATGATAACTATTGCATATTTGCATTTGTAGAATGGTTAAAATAAGGATATATCCTACTTTAAAGGGCCCTACACCTGGTGCATCAGCCTTTCTTTGCCTTGATCTTTCTGATAGTGAGTTGCGTTGCCAATAAGATGACCGCTTTCAATTGGTCTTACTAGTTTAGCTGAACCCTACTTGGCCTGAGCACAGGCTGGCTTATGGATGGTTTGGACTTATCTGCCAATCCTATTGGGATTCGAGTCTGTGCTTGGGCTGGAAAAGGAGTGACTTTAAGTCAAATCTTACTTTTAGCCCTTGACCTTGTATTATATGTTGGTTGAAACCTCTGCCTTTAGAGACTATCACCTGTCCAATGAGACTGAGATTTGACGACTGAATTTAAAAACGATGAAGTATGCTTTCTAATAAATACTGCTTTCTTCCTTTGGTAAGACTGGTAATAATTGTAACAAAAAATTCTTTATGTTTCTGTTGTAAAAGAATTCGTTTCTAAAGTTGATTTATATCGTTGGAGAAATATATATTTTTATGTGTCCTAGTCTAGCCATGTCACAACTGTTTTTGTCGGGTGTTGTGTGTCTATGTCATGTCACACCTCAGTCCTTAGTTGGCATATCACCTTTATGCATTATGCTATATTGCTCTCTCTCACTCCCTCTCGCTCTCTATACACACACATATGCATACACAAGCACACATATACATATAATACACACACACACACAGAGACAGACATAGACCCCTACATAGAAACATACACACACATGCATACATATACATGCACACATATATATTATATATATATGTAATGTGTGTGTGTGTGTGTGTGTATATATATATATATATATATATATATATATATATATATATATAGAGAGAGAGAGAGAGAGAGAGAGATGAGTATGTTTGATATCAAACACAAAAAGTTATGCTTGGTAGTGAGGTGACATAATCCCCTTCACTAATTCAAATGGTTGTATATTCTCATGTACTCCTCAACCCATGTGAATGTGGTTTTCCATTTGAATGAGTGGAGGAGATTGTGTCACCTTACTACCAAGTACAAAATTTATGCTTGGTACCAAGCATACCAATGTTTCTCATATATATATATATAGAGAGAGAGAAATATGAGTATGCTTGGTACCAAGCACAAATTTTATGC